CACTCTACAACAGTGTTAGGGCAGAGCCTGCTATCAACCTGGCAACGTATCACTACTACTATACAGTATTAGGGCAGAGCCTGCTAACAAAGTCGATTGGTCTACAGTTATCATAAGTCTCGTGGAGTGGTTTCTGTGCTGTTTGATGGCATGGTGGAAAACGACGTCTGTATCAAGTGCTGCTACGCCAACTCAGGGAAGCCAGAAGTCAGTAAACCATCGGTATTTCCTTTTTCCACATATAAAAACCATGAGTCTGTCTAACATGCATGTTTTCAAATAACATTGACCCACAGGATAAGAGTAATTAACATTGTTTTTGATAAAGTGAAGCTCGTCTGCCACTTGGTAAATAGGAATGATACTTCACGGCACACGTAACCTTCACAACTAATGCTTGCTTACAAGACGAAATAATGACATGACAGAGACACTAATTGCGAAAACACAAGATTAATCAGTACTCCTTTCGTCCCGAACTACTTGTCTTAAATTAGATATTGATGTATGTAACACTAAAATGTGTCTAAATATATCCGTACTTAGAGAAATTTAAGACGGATAATTCGGACGGAGGTTGTACTTTCTTCTAAAGACAAGACTAAGTAGTACTAGCAGTAGGAAAGACCGAAATGAGCGAGAATGGCGTTTTGGATCTCGGCTTTCATGGAGGCCGATTTTTAGAAAATTTCAAAATTCAAAAATTTCTGTTCAAAAAAATCTGAAAAAAATTGTACAAATAAAAAGGGATGTGAGGCGTATGTGAGCGTTTAGGTTGCGGCTAGGCGCGGAGGTTGGAGCTCCCTCCTTGACCGACGACTGGTATGAACCAAACACCATGGAAAATAAAAACAAAAAAAGTAAACCAAAAAACCCTGACGTTTAGCCAAGACCCTGACATTTTGCAGCCAACACCCTAAACTTTTCATTTTCTTGCAAACAACACCCTCACGTTTTGCATCCAACACCTTAATCCTTTTGTTTTCTTACAAACAAGGACAAGATTTTGACAAGTCTGGCGAAATTTCACTAAATTTTTTGGCAACATAACGCGTTTGGAAGAATTGCATGTCTTCTTCTATTTTCTATTTCACATGGAAAGGGAGGAGGCATTGCATCCCATTGCAACTTCTCCACGGCCGGCCGACCAACTTCTTCATTCCTTTTAGTTACGCATGAAAGTATACAACAACCTTTGGTAAATGTTGAATGTTCAGTTTTGCACAAAAAAAGAAAGAAAGAAGAAATGTTGAGAATCCATCGAGCACAAAGCACAAGACTCTAAAACTAAAGGCCACTTGCTTTCCTGAGCTTTGCCATTAGACCAAACATCATCTTGCTTTGAATTGCTACCGTGTTGCAAATCGACTGACTGACCACGTGATTTGAGGTTCTGTCAGTGGAAATATAGCTAGCTATCCTACTGCAAAATAATACACTGTACATTTTAACCAGTGATAACAATAAAGTTTGTTCAGGCAACTATGTTCAAGGTTCCGACAAAATTGCTACTACTATACATAGCTCAACTCAGTGGACTATTATTGTCAAGACAATACCCAACCCTGTCGGATTGAAAAGGGAAAGATTTGCCCAAGAGCAAGAGAGTGCTAGGAAGGATGTCGAGCGTGCCTTTGGTGTTTTGCAATCTCGATGGGGCATCATTCGGTATCCTGCTAATACTTGGAGCACGCAGAAACTATGGGAGGTGATGACTGCTTGTGTAATCATGCACAATATGATCGTAGAAGACGAGCGCCCGGAACGTCTGTACAATCAAGGCTTTCAGTTTCAGGGTGAGAATGTTGTGCCTGAGCATGGAGTAGCGGCAACATTTAAACAGTTCACTCAGTTTCATGAAGACATGCATGATTGAGAAACTCGCGTGCAACTGCAAAATGATTTGGTTGATCATATGTGAACTCATGCAGTGCGTCTTGTTAGAGCAGTGGCTACCAGTGCATTGGTCTCGGAATAATAAAGTCGGATGGACAACACACGGTGCGCATGCCTGTCGCAAAGCTACAGTACCGTCCTCCTCTGGTGGATTCACGCAAAAAGAAAATGCAGGGCATGGTGGTGTCTCGTCGGAGTACCACCACTCTACAGGATTAGGGGGGAGTCTGCTATTGGGTCTGTCACGTAATAAAGTCGATAGGTCCGAGTCTTGTGGAGTCCCGTATATGGTTTCTGTGCTGTCTGATGACATGGTGGAAAATGACATGTGTATCAAGTGCTGCGCCAACTGAAGCCAAAAGTCAGTAAACCATCGGTACTTCCTTTTTCCACATAATAAAAACCATTAGCCTGTCTAACATGTTTTCAAATAACATTGACCCACAGGTTAAGAGCAAGTAGTTAACATTGTTTCTGATAAGTGGAGCTCGTCTGCCACCGATGACTTGCTGGAAATTTTGCTCTTATTTCCTTCGCTCTCTCTAACCAGTGTCAACCTTAATTAATCAGTGTCATTTTTCATAAGAGACACGATGTAACAGGGCGGTACAGCGGCGTGGCCATGATTTCTGTGCAGAGCACTAGCGAATCTAGCCCCAATGACCAGTAAAGAGGCATGGTCCGGTCACGTCAACATTCACGCACGACCGCTCGAGGAGACACGACCGCGGCGTCCGGAGCTGCATGGCTGACGGCAATTAAAAATTCTAAATATACTAAACCTAGCTAGGTTTGATTTACCCTATTTTTTTGACTTTTTCTTATCAGTGAAAACTTGACCAATGAGAGGCTGACACGTCAATTACGGGGGGAAATTGTGGGGTAAGCCTTGGGTGCACTTAGCGATCTGTGTCGATGGCGACTGCGGATTGGTTTTCTCTTCTCCTCTCAGTTCCCTCCGCGTGTCGATGCGTCTCTCGAAGACTCGCGTGGGCTCTCTGCCTCCGCCGCCCACCGCTCAACCGCCGATGCACCACCGCTCAACCGCTGTATCTCCTTATAAAATGGCTCCCGCCCCTCAAGCTTGCTCCAACGCCCATGCCCATCACGCAGCGCTCACACGCTCCAGCAGATCCAGACGATGTGATGCTGGCGGTCGGCGAGGCCTCCTCGGCGCGCGGTTTGGTTCGCAGCGAACAGTGAAGCAGAGCTGCGTGGCGATGGCGACGACCAGCGCAGGGCACGGGCGACACCGCGACAACAAGCACAAGGCCATGGAGGGGCTCACGCAGCGCGCGGCGGTGCGCGGCTAGGCGGACCTCACGCTGTGGCGGCGGCAGGTGCGTGCTAGCCGTGGCCATGAGAGGGGGCTTGCGGCGTGACTGCGGCATGCGGCAGCGGGGATCTCCCCAACCTCTCCTACCCCCCTTCTGATGTGGGGAACCATGGATTGCCGATTTTTTGCTGAATCTTTAGTCGTGTGGAAATGGCGTTTTGGCTGGGACGCAACGGTGCGGCCACCGGCGCCCTGCGTCCTCCACCGGTGTCGCATGCTCATGCCCCTGCCCCCTTCCTTCGGCCGTCCAGACTGCCTCCGTCTCAGCCGGTGGATGTCCATATGCCGGATAACGAGTGTAGCGGCGATCACGGTCTGTCCTGCTCCGCCAGTCCTCTGTCACTTCTTCCGCTGGCTTACTACTAATGCAGGTGGAGTTCAACATGGAAGAGCATGGCCCAAGCATCATTCTGGGCGTAGCTGCCCACCTCTATGTGACGACTGCTCCAAGGCAGACCAAGTGTTCGTCGTAATGTCAAAGCGGCCACAGGTAAAAACAAATCAGATACATTGTGTTGCTATACTTATGAAAACAGTTCCTGAATCCAGGCACCATAGATTATTGCCCTTATGATGCATTTAGCTACTACTTCTGAACTCTGGATTTGATGGAGGTTTGCATGTTTGTAGTGATGATTCTTCGAGGTCTGTGTAGTGCCGGAAGACAGCGACCAGTAGCGGGCGCTCGCGCACTGCTTCTGGGATGACACAGTCAGGACTAATAAGGATGAGGATCATGTTCATATTTCCAGTGGGTTCGTTCCAGTGGTATGGACGCGGCGAGGCAATTTATAAAGTTTGCCAGAGCAGCCACTGCGTACTATCCCACACTCTCTATCGACGGACCACCTTCTTCCACGCCGACGCCGGTCGCCGGGGTATGGTCATCCATCGCCATGCAAGAGCGCTCTAATCCCCTAGATAGTACTGCTCACAGCAGTTGCAGGCGCGAACGCATTGCCCTCAGCCGTGGATTCCACTGTCCCGAACCAAGGATGTGCAGGCATGTTTTAGATTATGATTGTGCAAAGGAATATGTTAGAAAATGACGGTCTGCAATGGTGTACCAAAATATTGAACATCTTCTGATTTTACTGGAAGATTGATGTGGACATTGAAGTTATTGCACCGGCAGCTGATTTTTTTTCCTTCACATTTTTGAAGACTGAATTTTCAGCAGCACTGCACCATTAATTAGCTTTCTGCATGTGACTTGTGATTGCAGCTGATGAAGCCGTCAACCATTGGAGGCATGGAATTGTCGAGCCCAAGGTTCGTCACCCTTGTTTTCTAAAGGGAAGCTAAAGTTGGGGTTGCCAATCTCCGAGGATTTTCTCAACGGTGAGCACTTCCCTTTTGTTTCTCTTGTTCTGATCTTTACCACAAGTCGGCAATAGTCCCTATTGCACTTCTTGGATTGATCTCTCATTTTAGTCACTACTGTTATTTAATATAATAATAAGCCTCTATTTTTTATTCCGCATGCAGTATTGTTTGCTTACACCAACAAGATTTCTAAGTTGTTATATATTAATGTGGTGATAGGTTGAAAAGTTTGATCACTGAGGAATGGGGATTACAGTCACAGATTATTATTCGGTTATTCCTCTTGCTGGTGCCTCCGCTGAAAGTTATGCATCTATATACAACCATATATATAAGTTTGCCTCTTCAATCAGAAGATTGTATTAGCTATTCAATTCATAGTTCAACCTTTGAATATACAGTTTTGGCTGAGTAGTTTGAGCCTCTGTTGTGCAACTGGATCATGGTACACATCCAGACCTGCAGCTGTGTTTTATTTTATTATCCTTTTTAGAAACTGACACGCTGCCTTCGTCGCCTAAACCCGTGCTTTAATTAAATGATAAATTTACTATAAAGATTTTTTTCTTTGACTCTTATATGAAAAAATTGTACGAACATGTGATTGCTATCCAGATTAGTCAGGTCATCCTGCAAATAACTGTGGGATACATTACTGATACTTACTCAATCATTGTAGTGAAATAATACAAGATGGTGAACACCTCGGATGCAGCTCAAAGGTCAAATATCATGATATAGAGTAGGCATTAAACCTATCTTATCTACTTAATTTTTTGTTGCAGACTAATCGTCTATCTTATCCGTACATGGCTGATTAGGAAGTAGTACAGTACCCGCATGTTTAATAGTTATCAGATTATTTCTGTACATAGTTGATTTGTGTATTGAGACGGGAGGCCAAGTTGTTCAATTTGTGGATTTGATTTATTCAGACTGGTGGCATTCCTTAATTTCTGATTCCTGTTTATGTTTGGTTTTGAGCTGTAAATTATTTATTCTGGCACATCTAACGGCTGCTTCTTTTGTCTAGCCTTCTTTCAATGAAATATTTCCAGTCAGTAGACTATACTTGCTATTCCAATCACATACAGGCCTAGGGTTGTCCACTAAGAGAAGGTGCAACAAATTCACTTGGTTTGTGAATATCCTTGGGTTTGTACTAATATAAGCTAGCAACTTTTCATATATATGCCAGGTTGTCTTCAAGCCATAGAAGCACTATCGAGCCCTGGAGCTGTGGTGACAGTGCCGTCCCAGCCACCGGCGTCCTCTTCCATGCCATGGCCATCCAGGAGGAGTGCCACGGCTATCGCAGTTCTCCCCATGCCATCCTCCTGGATGTTGATCGTGTCCTTGCACCGGCGGCAGCTGGAGCCTGGTACGTCCAGAGAGGCATGGCCTTGGATTGGAGCATTGCAGTCATCGATCCACTTCGTGATAGCCATGAGGTAGGGTGGCGTAGAACTCAGCCCCGTGAGCTGCAGTTCACCAGTTCATTCCTCAGCTGTAAGCCTAGCAAGAAGGAAAATGGTTTGTGCTATATATACGACTGAACTGGACAATCACATAGAAGGTAGATATTTGCACATCTGATTTCTTTTGTGTAGTCTGGGTACTCTTTCCCATGGTGTTAAAAATATATATGTTTGTGAAGTTGTATGACTTACGTGATTTTGTAGCACACTAAGTTGACCCAAACTGGCTTGAATTTGTTGGTTATTTGGCCTTGCCTGAACACGGTTGGTGAAAGCAGCAGTGCTTGCTTTGATTTTTTTTTGTTCAGTTAAATCATTCACATGAGTATCTCAATTTAATTAACAGTGTAAGTTGATTGTGAGGCTGTGTATTTTTTGTCGAAGAAGAAAGTACCACCACATGTAACTCATTTGCACTTAGTGAATTTCAGTTGGCATCTTAATATTGGCCCTACTTTACAATATAAAGCATTGCTCTGTTTGTAGGTTGCAGCAAGATATGCAAAATACCCGTGCTTCTTACTAATGATGATCCTAATGTTAATTCAATGGGGAAATGAATATCGAGTGCGGACATAGTGTTGTTCTTTTAGGGAAAGAAAGAGAAAAATGTTAATTTTGGTTCCTTCCTTTTTATGTATATGGATGCAATGTGTGCTTTCTGTCTATTTGTAATCTGTCTTATAGGTATACTCATGAAGTATACGACCATTACTCCCTACAGTACATAGTTCGGATTTCTCATTTGTATAGTTCAATGCTTTCGGTTTGGATAGTTCACTCTTCCTATTTGGTACCAATTTCAAAATGAAGGACCGATTCTTGATCTTCTTCTATATTGGGTATTGTTTAGTTTTGTGGGTAATTTTAGTTCATTTATTTTGCATATTCCCAATTTTTGTACAACTTCTCCGTAAGAAATAGACACACTAGATTCATACACCTACCTTTGAAAAATATCAATTTTTTGGCCATAGGTGCTGAGTCCAATGCGTAGAATCTTCTAGAACCATCTATGACTTCAGCACCAAGGGAAAGGAGGGGCAGAGGAAGAGGCACAATAATGTAAGTTAGGTGGTCAATTGCATGGTCCGCTGGGAGAGATTTGGCTGCCTATGAACTGATTTGTGGTGGGTGCGTTGATAATGATCAATATTTGCGCATCACCATTCTGTGGTGTTGATCCTCTATTATTACTCATTGTTGGAATACTAACTGTTAAAGTTTGTAGTTGTAGCGTTGTTGCATGAATATCCTTAGGCATTTGTTTACCAGAGACCATGCTTTCTGATTTTCTTGATGACTTGACAAACAAATAGAATTGCAATATGCATGGATAAATTGGTCATAAACTCTTGATTTCCTCTGCTCAGCATAGTGACTAATTTAATGGTGAGCAGGTAGTTACCCAGTGTTTGTCTTATTGTTTGTAGGTGGTCCTTCCTGTAGGTCTGTTGGGCAGGGCGATTTGCGTGTCCCCTGTTCCTCCGTTCTGGTTGCGTCTTTTGGTATTTTTTGCATCTATTTCTTTGCTTGATTTCTTGCTTGCCGTAGGGTGTCATTAACTTTTACTTCTTTTTTTGGTAGGCCCAACTATGGATGTGGGAGGAGACCTTTATGAACTCTAGGTCTGATGTGTAGTCTTGGCAGAAAGAAACCACAATGCATATACTTTTCATCTTGCAAGATGTAGCACTCATGATCATAATAATGTATCCTTTTGAAATTATTTCTGTGCATATATAGCTTGCTTCCTTGTGACTACGGAGTTATAAAAATAAGCTTATGCACATGAAGCCCTTATTTTCCATCTCATGAGTCAAGAGTAGCATATACACACACGTACCGTATCGCGGTCTTATTTTCTATCGTCTCATAAGTCAAAAGTAGCATATACACATATGTACCATATCGATGGGGTGCGGCGTGCCGCCGCACGGGTATAGCTAGTTTGATACTATGTGTGAGCTGTTGCTCTCCACCCGGTTTACTAGAAAATTAAAGAACAGTTAACCAATGTAGGTCACTTGCACACCGGTAACACTAGGCCTGAACGTAGTTCATGCATCAGTGAAGCCACTTGACTTTGCTTGCCGGGTATGATCCATAAAAATGTGTCCGGCCGAAGTTAATCGAGCGTGGTTGGTAAGTTGGTGCATCTTGCAGGGAAGAAAACATCTATCGATAGTCTGTCCTACGATAACAGACACTCCGAGTTGTTTCCCGATCGATACAACTAGAACTGGATACTTGAGATGAGAAATGGATAGTATGGCTCTGGGATTGCTTTCTCGCAGGGAGTCGAGGAAGGATCTCTGGGTGAGGTTGATGACACTACTACTACTTTACTTTATGCTAGTCTGCACTCTTCTAATGTTGCAAGTCCGCTGAAGATGCTGAAGATGCTAGTCTTTGATAGGACTAGGCTCTCCCATCTATTCTGGCATTTCTGCAACCCAGTCTACATATTCAGCTTTCCTTTGATAATATTGCATATTAGTGTAGATCATTGCTTGCTGAGTACTTCGGATGAGTACTCACGTTTGCTTTTCTTTCTTTCCCCCATATCCGTTTGATGCAACCAGATGACGGAGCCTCTGAGACCGCTGCCACCACCGACGACTACTACTACCCCGAGGGTGCCTTTTATCATGTGACGGACGTCGATGACCAGGAGTAGTTAGGAGGCTCCCAGGCAGGAGACCTTGCCTTTTTGATCGATATTGCTTTTGTGCTAGCCTTCTTAAGCCAAACTTAATTAACTCATGTCTGTACTTAGATATTGTTGCTTCCACTGACTCGTTTGTATTCGAGCTTATGTATTCGAGCCCTCTGGCTTGTAATATAAATCTTGTATTATTTTAATTTGTGTCTAGAGTTGTGTTGTGATATCTTCCCGTGAGTCCCTGACCTTGATCATACATAGTTGCGTGTATGATTAGTGTACGATTAAATCGGGGGCGTCACAGAGGTGTCTCGATGCGGTCGAGCAGGCACTCAAATGTGCTCGGCGCGACGCTGAGGGAGTGTGGCATGGAGTCGAGGGATGCGTCGGTTGCTCCGTCGTCGCTGTCGAAGCCTCTATATATGAGAAGCTTGAGCTAATGGTGCTTGAGAAGACGCGCCTAGTTTAGCAGCGGCCTTTCGAGCCACGTACAAATCCAGAATCGAGATTCACTCATTTTAGTGTACGGATGTACGTAGACATATTTTAGAATATAGATTCACTCATTTTACTTTGTATGTAGTCACTTGATGAAATCTCTAGAAAGACAAATATTTAGAAACGGAGGGAGTACTAATAATCGATCTAGTTGTGTACGATACTCTAGTAATTAAGCATCTCTAGCTAAATTTCTTGCTCAACTAGTGATGAATAGGCAAGGTGGCAATTCTTGCCAAATCTTTTTTTAGGATTGGACTCCCAAAACCTTTTTTTTTCTTGGGGGACGATCGGACTTATCCTCTTCCGACTACCACGAGTTCAGGCAGTCGTTGTTCGGCGATGCTAGACCAACAGCTCCGAGGGAATTTCTCATGTCATTTATTAGTGAATGCAACTGACTCAAAAAAAAATTGCCTCAAGAACCTAACAACATCTTCATCAGCCCTCCGCACGTGGCCACAATCCCTTCCCGATTTGTCGACGCTCACCGGACACTACACCCTCGTCGGCCTCTTGGCTACCACGCAAAGGTCATTATCATATCATTCTTGCTGTCTAGTTCAAAGAACTCGGTCGAGGTTGTCTTGCGTTTATATTTGCAAAGGTTTAATTATTTGTTTCTATCACATGTATTTTTTTGGCGGGGCTCTGTCACATGTAATACAATCGTTTAGCATGGTATATTGAGGCACAATCACGTAATCCATTTCAAGATATTTCATGAATTTGGATACTTCTGGATTTTATTTATTTATTTGTGTCATTTCTCACTTTTTTCAAAAACTAGATGATAATGTTGCCTTGCATTTCGAAGATGGGTTGTAGTATCACAAAGCACTGAATTTGATCGCACTATTGCATTATCTTTGTTAATTGAATAACAGATTATTTAATGCAGAACGCTATGTGTCGATCGGGTGATAATCTGAGAATATTGATTGTCTAGGCAGCTGTTAGATGGATTGCGGGACAGTTGAGCTCGGGTTGTGCAGCCTGTGCACCGGCCTTTGCAACAAGGCTCGGGTTGTGCTTGGCACTTTGCAACACAAGTACCATTGCACTCCCCGCCGAACCATTTTTTTCCTTTGGCCCTAGGCGTCGACCGTCGGATCATCGCAACAAGAGCCATGTTGCAGTCATCCATTGCAACATGGACCATGGTGCGGTCACCTCCGGCTTGCGTGACACGATCTTTTTCGGGTACCCTTCCTCTCATCATGGCTACAATTGTCTTGACCCCAACTCGTGTTGCGTCCTGACATCCCAACGCGTTGTATTTGATAAAACAAAATTACTCTTGGCTAGCACTAATCCTACTACTTCAGATGCTTCTTCCCTTGAGTTTCTCCTAGACCCTGCTCTATCTCAGCCCATCATGCATGTGTCTCCTCCGGCCCAACCCATGTCGCATGCTCTCCGGTGGCCACGAGTGCAACCACATCCCCGGCTGTACGTACCCAACTCTCCCCTCCACGTTTCCTCATCTGCACTACACTCACCTATGCTGGTGCACTGGCTCGTGGTGCTGCATTCCACGCATGAGTCTACTGACTCGTCCATAACTTCCTTGCCTCGGCCTTCGTCGCCGCGTGCATCATGTGCCGCCATTATTTGCACTTCTTCCTGCACCACCGCAACTGTAAACACACACCAGGCTCATGCGTGGTAAAGACGGTATTCACAAACCTGTCGATCGCTTAAATCTCACTGCCATCCATGAGTCCATCTCTCCCATACCAATAACATACATTCGGGCTCTCCATGATCCACATTGGGGCTCTCCAATAACATACCTTTTCTCTTCCCGCCCACCTCATCCACATGTTTCTTCTATCCCAAAAGCAGCGCCATCTCTCTCTCTCTCTCTCTCTCTCTCTCTCTC